AGGTTTGTCTCATTCATGTTTGCACCTCTTTCAGAAAAGAGGCTTTCCCCAAGCTGAAAGGACAGCAGTTCATACACATTAAAATAAGTGGAACACTCAAATTACTGTACAAGATCAAGGCATAAATGGAAATGTGGACTAAGATGGCATCTTAAAGAAGGGAGATGCATGCAGGTAGAATGGAATCACTGAATCTCTCAGTGCTAAAAAAAAAAAAAGAAAAAAAAGGAAATTACAAGAAAGTGACAGTAGAACAAGCATAAGATAAAAGTAAACATGAAGACAGAGTGTGAATTAATGACAGACTTTTGATGTTCTTTAACAAAACATCTGTCGAAACAAGGGGAGAAAAAACATTCAACATCTACACACGCATCCATCAAGCAGCACACCTCACTGCAAGTGTCATCGCAAAAGGAAAGACATAAATCTACCGTGTAGCCCCACAGCAACTTTTCCAACTAGAACCACAGACAGCTGAGACATAAAGCAAAAGTCGAGAGACAGAAAAAGAATGAGAAAACCGCAGAACAAGAGAGCAAGAAGGTAAGAGAGAGAAGGTGATGTGTCCCAGGCGTGTGCTCTATCCTCAGCAGAGGCTGAGAGCGAGGCACGGCAACGCCTCAGCCATCCGTCACCATGGAGATAACAAGCTGTCAGGGCCAGAGAGGATCATGGGCCACAGAGGCCGGTCACTCTGCTTGAACACCAGAGGAGCCAATCAGAGGAGAAGCAAAGAGGGTGAGATAATGTGAGGAGAAGGACAGTTACTGGCATCAAGCACTTTGGTGGAAAAAAGAAACCAGAAAAGAAATGACAGGAGAGGTGCCAAACATGTGAGAGTAGCCAGGCAACACTAACTTCAGTGTAAGAGAGGAAGACCTAGAGAAGAAGGAGAAAGAAAATGTGCATGCAAATGTGATGATGTTTGGATGGGGAAATAAAAAGGACAGTGCCCAGAGCCATACATCAATCAGTCTCTGCATCTAAACAACTCCTGCGCACTGCAAGTAATTATGCTGCGCTTCCACTTTGAACATGAAGCTTAAAACTCCCGATACAATGCACCCACTCTGCAGTCATTACTGCACTTAAGAATTTGGTACAACTAGTGTAGCTGTACAATAGAATGGTGATGGTTTTTAGAGGAGATATTCTTGTTCTTTCAGGGGTAGAATATTATTTAGAATTGTTATTTACTCCATATGATAAAACTAAAATATTTAGAAGCTGGAGGTCTTAAACTCCTTCAAATGAGTCAGGACGTGACACAATAAACTGCGGCTCTGTGCTTCCAGGAGCAGCATTTGTTGATGGATCAGGTTTCATTGAATCCAGTTAATTGCACTGTCTGAGGTATAATGGAGCATGAGTGACCTGACATGCTCAGATCTTGATGTGGAGAATGAAGCAATGATGAGAGCTAATCTTCCCCATGTAACTAAGACACAATGCTGCAGACTGGCTGGACATAATCCACTGTGCACATTGAATTATACTCTTTTCTTTTCAATCAGTGCAATGACCAGGTGAAAGCTACAGGTATGACCCTTTGCTGAGAGGAAGAATGTTGATGAAGTGAAGACGTGAGCAGAAGCGACTTAAATATAACTGTAATTAACATGTAGATTCAAAATGGCACAATTTGGACTTGAGAACATGGAAGAGCTACTAATGCTGCCCAGGTAAGACTGGATATCCTACTACCTATCTGTACTGTATGTAGGTGATAGTATGTGCATGCATATGGTTGCAACAAACATGCACAAATCTGTGCCCTTCATTGTAGTATAATGGATCCATTAAAGCTGAGTCACATTGCATGGGGACCCACGTCTGATCTATCTTTTTAAACAGGAGTGAAATAGCGACTCAATGGCTACAGTGCCTTCTACTATTTAAACCAAAAGAAAAGCTGAAACTTTTCCAGGAAAATGAACCAGCAGGGCAGATCAAATGCACTCCATTTCTCATGGGGTACAATATGCATGTATTTTTGCCCATGCATGTCTCCAAAAATTACACAAATGAATAGGGGAGCAAAGTGGAGGGCGATGAGGGGAGGCAGAGCAGTGATCCAGAGGAAGAAATGAGGAGAGAGAGAGAGGACTGAGAAAAGTGATGCAGAGCAAAGGAAGAGGAAAATTAATTAGTAGGAGAGACAGAGTGGCAATTAACTAAACTTTGCTGTAAGAAAATAATTATTAAATCAAATGAAGCAAAATAACGTAATTATATTTGGTATCTATGTTAATATTTGTGTGAAAATGAGACTGATGTAAGATGAATAAAAAAGTGAGAACATCATGGGAGAGAAATCTATATTGTGTGGTATGTACAGAGTGTGAGCAGGCACGAACAAGAGGGAAAGGGAGAAGGAGTGTGTGGGGTGCAATATAAGAGAGGTGCTCCAGGTGCTCTGCTGCAGGCAAGCGTAGGAGAGCTTTTGTGTGAGTGTGTGTGTGTGTGTGTGTCACTGAAGGCCTCTCACAGTTACTGTGTGCTGGACAGAATCATTGATCTGAAAAATGGAGATCACACACACACACACACACACACACACTGCAGAAAACATTTTGATGATGCTGAAATAAGGCTTGTATTACTGTCACACCACGACAGTGTATGGTGGTAGAAAACAATACAAACAAAAACGTGCTATCCTCAAATTTGGTCGGTTTTTAAACAATTCATCATACAGTACTTATAGCACTGTCTACTTCAGTACAGTCAGTAAACGCACCCATACAGGTACAAATCAGGGTTTCAAAAGCAAACACCAAACTCTTGCACCAGTTAACCAGTTTAAGTCCCACAGTAGATGCACACAACCTTCCCCCTAGTCCTAAACTATGAATATGCTGCCCCCCCGACACACAAGCTTCAGCCAGCTTCAGAAGTGTATATACTAACAGAGTCACAGCAGACAACAGGTAGCACCTCACTACCCACATGGTGACTGAGGTGTGTGTTTGTAAGTTATCTTGGCTCTTTACCTGATTCCAGCGGAGGAAAATTACCTCAATTACAGTAACAACAGCCATCCTTCAAAACACCAGACGCACTCAATTATTCTTCACCTTTTTCAAACTCATTTTGGATTTTTTTTTTTTCTCACCCACTTACATACACACAGGTTTGTCTCACTGTGCTTTAACATGCTTACAGTTTCAACCACCATGGGTGTCCAGCAACCAATAAGCTGCAACAGAAGCTCCGGCGATGTGAAATGAGATTTGGAGTGAGTGTATGCGGCATACGCACTGGCACGTCTGCACTCTGTGGCAAGCGGCCAACTGAGAGCAACAGAGCTCAGCCATTAGAAAACAGTGGAAAATCCTTCTGAAACCTTTATTCCCTCAACCATCAAAGACAGAGTCTGAAAGGCAAACAGAAGGTCTCGCTGTCCAGTTTGATCCGACTGCCTGCACTCTCCCTCTGTCTGCCTGATTTTCTGGCCACCCATTCATTTGTCTGTAATACAGACATACAGTATTATTAGTCTCCCCTCCCTGGCTCACTGTAAACGCTTGGGTCATAAAGCTGAGCTTCTGTAATTTACAAGGCATTTCATGGGCTTTTGCTTCAATACTTAACGTATTTTCCATCAGATAAATCTCTCTTTGTGTCTGTACTCAGGTTTTTGTTCAAAATCAATTTAACACAGCTCATGTCCAGACTTTCAGCATTCATTCCCTCTTTTTTTATATATATATATATTCCACAACTGTTGTTCTTGGCCTGGTATTTGGTGCTATGAATGTTAAACTGATCAACTGAATAGGAAAAAGTCTACCTACATCAAGCTAATCAGTAATAACTTTAAAGTAATAATTAAAATAAAATAAATAAACCTCATTAGAAGATGGATTAGGCCGCATATTTCTGTCTGAACCCAACCTGTACCTGAGAGTGTGGCGTCCAAACGCAGACCCGAGCCTGACGCAGTTGAGTTTGCATGGTGGTTTTCCCCTTATAATTAAATGAAGCAGACTCCAGCAGCCTAGCCTAAACTTTGACCTACATGTCAGAACCCGACCCGGAACCTGGCCCAAATCCTTGGGTACCGCCGGGTCCCGTCAGGCTCTGTGTGGGTATCCACACTCTAATTCTCACTACTCTATTCAGTCACTTATTTCAGGTTAAAGCCTGGTAGAAATCCTGTCCTGCATCATTAGTTTAACAATTTAACAGTGATAATTACAACAATTCAATCTGCACTCCTTAGAGGCTTGATGTACACACACACACACACACACACAGTCCTGCAGCAGTGCAGCAGCCAGTTCAGTGTGGTCTCGTCTGTCCCAAATGTGGAAGGATAATCTTTAGTCCCACAGCTACTGTCAGTGTAGTCAGCAAACAGGCAACTTCTCTTTCTGGGTCCTAAAGCTAAAGCCACATGCACACACATATAAACACATACAAATGTTCACTTCCATTGTTCAAGCAGTGGAACGTTGATCACTGCAGCTGTAATTGTATAAGGATGTCAAACAAACTTACTCTGAGATGATTCTGGGTTGTCTGCTGTATTGTGGTAGCAAATCCACAAGATAAAAGAGTGAGTGTGGATGGGTAGAGGAGGGGGGTCAGAGTTAAGATGGATGAAAATGTATCAAAAGAACACAAAACAGAGACAGAACATAGTAACAGTGGAAAAAAGGGCTGTGGATGTAGAGAGGTGGGAAGCACCAGTGAAAAAAAAGGCTCTGGATGTAGAGAGGTGGGAAGCACCAGTGATGGATAAGGAGATGAAAAGATAGGAGCTGAATGTTGAATGAAAGGTTTACCAGCTGATGGAAGAGGATGACGGGAGTGATTTAAAGAGGAGGGGCTTTAATGAAGCTTTAAAAACCACTGCTTTGGATAACAGATAACAGGACATGATGTGTGAGAACAGATGAATACTTGGGGTTAAAATACTGAAAATTAAGGGATAAAGTAAAGATTTTCTTTAAGGCTAACGGCGCCAGTTCCTCTGGTGAATGAAAGGATATGGGCTGGAGACCATACGGATGCACCAGTTGCGAGGACAGGTGGTCTGTTTGAGACAGAAAAAGACGACAGGGGCCAGCTCTGGGAAGGGCAACACGAGAGTGCTGAAGTCACTGCCGATACTGTCATCATCACCTGGACCCACTTCCTCGATGATGTCATCAGCCTGTGCCAAGCTGTAGTCCTCAATCTGCCCTGGCACTGCTGGGGAAGTGCTCCCCAGCGGCACAGGACACTCCTCGCTTGTCATTGCAACCCAGGCGAGATCTGAAGGACAACAGGAGACAACGCTGGGATTAGAGGAATGAAATGATTATCACATTGTTTGACACATTACAGATCTCTGAGAAATTCAGATGACAGTGTTTTGATTTCATTACCATCTAGTATTTGTACTGCAGACAATAAATATGAATTGAATCACATGTTTATACCCTGAACTTTTGATGGGACAAACAACTTTTGGCCAAGCAGTCATTTCCACAACATCACACAACTCACAGATATTTAATGCCTGTAGTTTTTCTAGCCTCAAAGCCCATTAGTCTCTTGCTGTTTCTATGCCCTGCAAAAGCAAATAGTCTTATTGTACACTCACTTGTATGTCTAAGAGAATGCATTGCTTACTGATAACAGTCACACATCACAATCACACACTCACAGAAGGGTACAAAAACAGAGAGTAAATCAATGTCAATAGTCATTGCACATTTATTCACAATTCATTTAGCCCCATCACAGTGTTGTGGGAGAGGAAATGGCTTAGCTCATAAATGAATTCACTTTTATCTATAATATAGCACACAAAACATGCTCACACAGACACACACATGCACAAATATGTGTTTGTGTTTTTGCATGATCCACTGTGTAATTTTGTATATGCCTCATTTTTCACCAGAGAACACGCTACAATATACTATTACTTATTATGGGGCCTGAGATGGTCGAACATCATTTAATCTGAATACTGAGCTTCCATATGAATGATCGTCCATTTGGCACATATAATTGAGTATTATTAACTAATTTGGCTTTCAGTGCATCATCTCCCAAAAAGCCAAATGTTATAAAGTTTCACTTTAGAAAATTAGCCTTGTCATGAGTCACTGCTGGCAAAAAAGTCCACATGAAAAACTATTTAGGAGGGAAAATGCAAATAAAGAATGAATGACAGCAAGTTTTCTTTTGGCTCAGCCAGCCTTCATGTGCAGCAAACTGGTGAGCCAGGTAGCAAGTCACCCAGTAGCAGCCAGGAACCTAAGTGAGTGCATAATAACATACACAGCTTGGTAGTGCTCTTGCTTTTAACCAGCAGCCTGAGCAAGTGGCAAGGAGCTAAGTGAAGGCTGGACATGTGCATAGCCGGTATATGCAGAGTCTTGCACTCTTGTCCACACACACACACACACACACACACACACACACACACACACAGACACAATATCAATGTTAAAGGCCAGAACTAATTCACAGAAATAACTTTAGGGGAACAGCTGAGCATGTGTGAATGTTAACAATCAGTATGTGCCTGCGCTACACAAACATGAGCAGATAACTACAAACATGCACGCATAAGTGTGGGTTCTTTATGTGCACATGTGTGTGCTTGTTAGCACTAAATCCTACACCAGGAATAAGTGCTAGCAGAAGGGTACACTTTTGTTTTTGTAACAATATTAAAAGCTGTTCAGTACAAGCTAAGAAAATAGGACAGCTGTGATTTCGTAGCTTGACATCTCTCATAGCTCCAGAGCTAATTCACTAAAAGGGTGTTAAGCCAAGTGGAGATATCAAAAACAATAAAAAGGGGAAAGTCAACCACACACTGATTTGTTAAGTCTCACTCTGTGTCTGCCTAATAATCATCACTGAGCGTACCTTCCATTCATTATCCCTGTGCTGTATATACCATCTCTCAAACCAAGCTGGTTTGCCTTTCCATGACTGACCTTTTAAATTAGTTTTACCATGGCAACAGCCGCTTCCTGTGGAGGCAGGAAGTTTATTCTTACTCTGCTGTTTTATTTCCCATGACAAAGCTTCTTAAAGACACCCTGCAGCTATTACCGGCAACTACAATTAAGCAGGAGACAGCTTTGCAGAAATGGTTGGAAGGAGTGTGTTCTGTGTAAGACTGTCTGTCTATGTGTGCGCCGTAAAGCTAGAAAACCCACCTTTGCACCATAAAACTGTCTCTTTTTACAATATTACTGCACTCTGGATAAAGTTCCTCTTTTTTGTGTATAATGATGGTGACTGATGAATATGTGACACAAAGAAGCAGAGTGAGAAATACAAGAGACTACGCACAAGGCCCTGACTGCTGTGGTAGCACTGACACAAGCACAGTCACACTTTCTCAACATACACACTCTCAGACATTAACACTCTTAATTGAGGTAGCAGATATACAGTCACTCATTTAGCAGCACTGTGAGCTAAAGGCTGCGATGAGCCATGGAAAAACTTGCTTTCTCCCTCCCACACACTCTCACTGTGACAGTCTGAGACAGACACAGGAAGAAGCTGGATGGAAAACAACAGCAAAAACATACTGTGGATCCATAAGGGGATTGGGTGACACATTCTTCATTGCAGTCATTTCATACTGCTAATTTGAATATAAAGAAGCTGCAAAGAGCTCGTTGTTGGGTGTTTACACTGATATCAACAATCTGATGTATAATACCCAAGGGATACAAGTAATGACTATAATTCTCAGTGAGTCGCTGAATGAACCTAAAAGTGAAGACTCGACATAAACAATTGAAGGATTAAAATGAGAAGATTCTGTGCTGTGCATGATCATAATGATAAATGACACATGCAATGTATTATCAAAGGGGAATGTTTTCTTTGTGCATCCTTAACTCTAAAATCTGTATATTCTGCAAGTTCAAACTACAGCAAATATGTATATGGGACGCTTAGAGTAAATAGATCGGGGCCATCATTAATGTTATAACACCTGTGCTTTTACAAATATGACAAATAAAAATATCTGCTATGAAAAAAGGTTTTTATATAACAGGAACAATAACTGCATAAGCTCATTTAACAAGATAACCAGTAAAAGGTAAAAAATTTGCATCCCATTATAGTACCCCTTGCGATTAAAGTCAGTTGTGTAGCCTTGGACAGCAGCCCAGATCTACTGCAAGAAAAATCAGGACATCTGGGAAGAACTGATAATGAATCTGACACTCCGTAGCACATAATCCTCAGTTTCTACGGGAAAACATCATTAAAAAGTACCTCCCTGTAATGTTGCATTATGAGTTTCAGAAGTTATAAAGACCAGAGAGGAAAGATTTATTTTTCAGCAGAAATACAGCTGGGCTGGGAGTGTGCATAATGTGCACTGTGTACATGCGTGTCTGTCACGTGATTTGGGACAATACTGAACTCAGCACGGCGCTCACTCACAGACAGCCAGGGATCTGAACATCACACCAACCACTCTTAATGTCTCTTAAATTCTTTCTCTCACTGCGTCAAAGCACAGAGAAGAAAATATAAGATTGTCACTCGAAAACACACAAACACACACACACACACACACACACACACAGGTGTGACTGGGCTGACAAATGAGCATATGACAAAGCAAGAGGCAGTTCCCTGATGGTTGGTGCTGTCCTGGATGTATGTGTGTGTGTGTGTGTGTGTGTGTGTGTGTGTGTGTGTGTGTGTGCATAACAGAAGAAACATAATGCAGCACTGGACCATTCAGAGACAGGCAGCGGCTAATGCCATTAGGCTCACTTCAGGGCAGGCATCCCTTGAGAGCACAACTTTGGCTACACACACATCCTCAGAGAATGCACGCTCCCTGCCTCATCAGCTACGTCAAGCACTGCTTCATTCAGTGACCCAAGAAACCAGCTTGGACACTTATTGCTGAGTGATCAAAACAACATGTTACTTTGCTACTGAGACTATCAATACAGTGCAGTATACTCAGTGAGAGAATATAATGTATTTATACATTGGGCACTGACAGAGGAGCCAACACTGAATAAGATGGCTGGCGTTTTGACAGCACTATAAAATAGCCTTTCTAAATATAACAAATGTGACTCTTGCATAATGGAGAAGAACACAATTCCCACTCAGCAACTTCAGCTTGCCAAGTAAACCTTAATATGTTTAGGGCCATTATTGTATTCAAATCAGTCATCTTAAAAAGACTCCTGAGCATGATGAAAACACCTTTATAGCACATTCAGAAAGGGTTTTGAGGAAGTTTACAGGACAGCTCAAAAATAATCACTGCCTTGCTGTGTAAGGTCATTATTCATTTTAAATTCCGCATCATTGCATCACCTCTTTCAGTTGTGCCAGCAGTCTGCCTCCATGTTTTCACATCACCACAGAATAGGGACTCATGTGCTTAGAATAACACTCAATAGATCTAAAGAGGGGGCAGAAAATGCACTAAACCAGTGGAACTGTCTGGTTCATCCACAGAGCAGGGCACCTACAATATTTTTCCTAAGAAAGTAAACGAGGTTCAGAACCCGCTGCATCAACACTATATGTGACAGGTTGGCACATGGCAGCATGCGTGGGCTTCAGTCATCTAAAAGCGTCATGGTTTGTCAGACTTTAGTTACAATCACAGTGTGACAGGCAGCAGCAACAGCGCAGTCACCAGTGCTCATTGTGACTTCACTGGTGAATCTGAGCCACAAATAAGATTGTAAAGTAATTATTAAAACCCAATTAAGATAAAACTGAACAGAAGACAAGTGTATGTTAATACTAAATGCCATTAAATCCAACGGCAGTTGAGTAAAGCTGAGCCCTCTAAAAGTCTCTTATTAATCTTGCTGTTCGTGACTGGTTTATGGTCGAGTAAAAATGAAGGGACTTCTGGGAAATGTTCCTGTGCACACTGCTGGTGCTATTTAACCTTATATAGCAAGGTAAAGACAAAGAGTGCTCTATAACCGTTGCCACATACATTCCTAAATTGTGTAACATGACATGCAGCTGACTTTACATGAACAATATCTGTATTGGGTTTTTACTAACTACAAAAACACATTGTTTTAAACTTAACACATAGTTTTATATCAGTTCAACACAAAAGTAGGTTTAATTCTACTCAGCAAATACTGCATCACCCATACCACTGTACTGTATGGTGTATGTGTCCTTTGCTAAATCCAGTGTTTTGTGAATTTCTGTGCTGTAATGGGTTAAATTATCCATAGCCACTGCAGTGAAATGGGTTGTTATCCTGCAGCCACAGCCAGACA